AGTCTAGAGTAGCCATCTAGTTGGTCTATTATATCATCACATTATGGTAATTCTCAGCAGGGCACTTATCACCAACTGTTATTTGCCTTGTTAAATGATTACATTTGCTAATAGATTACATTTTCTTGTTAAATTATTACATTCTGGTATGATCCCCCACACTAGATTGTAAGCCAAATGTGAGCAGGGATTTGTTTATCTAGTTCTTTGCTGTATACTCAGTGCCTAGAGTAGTATCTGGGTCCTTAGAAGGCACTTATTAAGAATTTGTTCATTAAGTAATTGTTAGTGTTTCATAGCCACATCTTGAAGACCTCAACATAGGAGTTCCACATCTAAAGAAATTTGGTTCACTAGAAGAATTGTAAAAATCTTGCTCAGGTTTTTGACAGATTTGACAGGTGCTGCCTCTCTAAAAATACATTGAAAATCCTTGTTGTATAACTCTGTATACTAACCTTTTATTCTAACCATATTTGAATTTAGTTTTATAAATTTTGTTTTGAAAGGGGAAAACAGACTTTTGCTTTATAATGAGCTGATAATTCTTTGTGGTGACAGCTTTTGTTACTTAGAATCAATGTAGTTGGTCATTTTGTTTGAGATTGCTGAAATGAGCATTTAAAAGTTTTTGTTGTTGTTCTTGTATTGTTTTATATCATCTCCTTCAAATCACATTGCTTTATCTATGCTGAATTTCTCCTAGAAATGATGAAGTAGGGGAATACCTTGGATCTTTTAAACCTGAATAATTCAGGTGTTTGGTTTCTTCCCCTCTTCTTATACCAAAGTTAGACTTTTACAGTATTAATTTTACCTTTAGGCAGCCATGCATAGTAGATGTAAAGTAATAGTAAAACATTGTCTCTGCATATAGAATTCAGACTTGGAATATTTGTAGTACATTTTGATAACATACAACAGAGAATCAACTTCAAAATCATTTATTGAACTCTCATGCTTAGCCTTACTTTAGACACTGGTGGATTAGAGGATGAAACATATGCTTACATTGTGGAATTTATACATCAGTGTGGTTCAACCAAAATGCAAGTAGTATTATTTTGACAGATGTTCAAGAGGGATGCTTGGGTGGCTCAGTCGTTAAGCATCTTGCCTTCAGCTCAGGTCATGATCCTAGCTAGGGTCCTGGGGTCGAGCTCCGCATGGAGCCCTGCATTGAGCCCTGCTTCGAGCCCCACATCGGTCTCCCTGCTCAGCAGGAAGCCTGCTTCTCCCTCTCCCACTCTCTCTGCTTCTTTTCCGTCTCTCATTGACTCTATCTCTGTGTCAAAGAAATAAACAAAATCTTAAAAAAAAAAAAAAAAGAAAAAGATGTTCAAGGGCAAAAACAGGGACAGGACAAATTTTAAAACGTGAGAGGAAGAGAAGAAGAAAGAGCACATGCTGCATCAATAGTCAGTGTTCTGTACTTGAAGACTGTTTAACAAATGGACCCACAAATAACCTTCATGGACTACTTTTACTTTATTTATACAATTTCAGTAATTCTTACAAGTGATTAAACAAGTGGTTCTTGACAACAATTTTAAGTGTTTAAAAGTACAAATTTATACATCTTTACCCAAACGTGTACAGTAGTTCTGCTATAGTTCTGCTAAATGTCTATGAATCTCTTGAAAAACACCAGGAATCTGGAAGGCCTAGAAATACTTCCATTTCCCTTCTCAGATTCAATGGCAACATTATTTTGTGGCACAAATCCTTTGACCTGTTCTTATCTGATGTTTTTTAGTTGAACACTTTAGTGCATTCATAGAGTTATACATTTTACTAAATGTGTCACAAACAGCTTGAAATATAGCTTCCCTGTTTTCATCAGCTTTCAAAGCATCCTTAGTTCTTAAATTACTACTATTTTTTAATGTTGATTAAGCTCTTGTTCCTGAGTTCCTTGCTAGACTGATTCACACTTGACCAGAGATCAGAAACTTTCTTTGTAAAAAACCAGATAGTCAGTATTTTAGGCTTTCCAGTCACTGTCACAACTACTCAACTCTGCCATTGTGGCATAAAAGCAAGCATACATAATAAATATGTAAACAAATGAGTGTGGCTGTGTTCCAATAAAACTTTACCTATGGACAATGAAAATTGAATTTTGTGTAATTTTCACATTTTGTAAAATATTTATCATCAGATTTTTTTTCTATTATTTAAAAATGTAAATACTATTCTTAACTTGCAGGACATACAAAAACAAACAGGGCTGAATTTGATCTGTGGCCTGCAGTTTGCATACACCCCTGTCCCAGATTCAATGTCCGAATCTAAGTTGTGTGTCACATGTCCCCTAGAGCGGGAAGTTGAAAACATATCCCAGAGAGAACTGCATTTTACATCAAATGCTCCATTACTTAGCCCATCATTATCAGTCATATATTAGATCAGTCACATTTCTTTTAAAAACCAGATACTTTATTCGAAGTAGTTAAAAGGAAATTAGTTCAGAAATCACCAAAGCTAAATAAATGAAGGGCTGAGGAAACCCTCCAGCATAAACAAATCAGGTTATTAAAATTCTTGTTACAAATTGGATTTGTTTTTCTTCACTTGGATTTTTATCTGCTTTCTTTTAAAAACTTAGTAAAGTAACTCCAGAATTAGGATAGCTTCTTTTATTTTTACTGTTTTTCAGAGGGGTCACATTTCTGCAGAAATAGAATTATTTTCAGGAAACAGGATTCTTTATGTTTCAGTTATGTTACAGCTCAAACACCATTTTGTTAAACTCCAAATAGTATTCCCAGTTCTGAGCTACTTATGCATTTTTATTGCATTTATTACATATTGCTTTAAAATAAGTATGGTTTTTGGTTGGTAATCGTCTTGTTAAAATAGACTTTGTTATTTTAAAGACTTCTGTCTTATTGGGATTAGAACTGTTACCATTTAAATATGGATTTCTGCTGCTTGCCATAGAAATTTCGCTATTTTCTGACTCTTTTTTAGTACTTTGTACAATATCTTCTCCTTTTTTTTCTTCTCCTGAATTTATGCCAGCTCTGCATGAAAACACTTGAAGAAGTCTCCTAACCTAGGAAAAGACAATTTTAAAATATCCAACATACAACATATTTTGTGCTCCTCTTCGAGGTAAAAATGTTCCCAGTGTCTTTTGTTTTTCTGGGAGTATTTCATGCTTGTTTTCCTGTTTTATGCTTCTTTTCAGTCTGTTTGGTTTCTACTACAGGAGATCCAGTGTTTTTTCTTTCCATTAGTATAATTATCAGTCTTGAATGTCAGTCACTGACATTCGTACTGCTGTCACTGACATTCGTACGACACATAGCGTACTGCTTTTCTTCACTGTAACTATATACCAGTGCTATCTCTTAGCAATTTTCTTACTTACATCTTGACTGAATGGTCCTCCTCTCTGTCATTCATTCATCCTCTGTTCATTTAACATTACCTCCATATTGCAGGCACAACACTAAGTACCCTACACATTATCCGACTGCACCATTCACCTGTTACCACCCTGCACTTCCTTCTGAACTGTTTCTCCTGTATGTTTGTGTTAGAATTCCATTTTTTTTTTTTTTTTTTAAGCTCACTTCTTCCCACTCTTTGTCTGACAACATTTCAACTTAGACTTTTCCGTTTCAGGCTTTTAATTCACGTGACCTCCCCTCACTTCTTCCTCTGTCACTCCTCTGTTGGGACTGCTGCACATCATCCCTCTCTTTGGCTTCATTGCTCAGTGGTACTCAGACTTGCAGCTCCTTCTCCTCCTCCTTGAAACTGGAGTGAGTCCAGGGTTATTTGTACAGTGACACAAGTACATGGAAGCAGGCCGGGCTGGATGAGTGTGGAGAATGGCAGTTCCTTTGCTCTTACTCTGCTGGCTCCATCCCAGGATAGCTTGCTAAAGCACTGTCCTTCCAGGATTTCTTCCAGGATCTTGTCTCCAGTTCTCGGTGCAGGATCACAGAGAACCTTGCATCATGCTCTTCATAGATTTTTTTTTTTTTTTTTTTTTTTTTACTGAAGCTTTGCACAATAGAACTGTGTCCCATGTCAAAAATGCCTTGTCTTATAACATTATTGTGTTGCTCTGTCCACACTAAATTATAGACATACCTTTCTTTTACCTCAGTGAGAGAGCTGTAAGTGTGATGAAAAGGATTACTTTAGCTTACTACTGCCAGAGGCCTGAGTCCCACCTTGTAGATGACTGATTGAATTCAGTCATGGTTAATCAGAACTGGAAGGAACCTGAAGAATTATTCAGTTGTCCTGTTTTACATATGAGAAACTCAAGGCTCAGACTGTTGAATGCCAAGCTCATTGTCAAATGAATAAAAAGCTAGGATTGGAATTTGAGTCTTGCTGAATCAACTGTTTTTCTATAGCACTGATACATTGAAGTGATGTCATTAAAGAATGTCTGATGAGATGATAAATTTTTATCTTTGTTTTTGTTTTTTTTTTTTAAACACCTAGGACAGTGATTCCTTTCTCCCTAAAAGATCTCAGTATTCTTGACCTTTGACTCTTAAATATCCTGATTGCTTTAGAAAGCAGAAATATCCATCTAAAATAGTTTTTGTAATAAGCCTAGCAATATGATTCTATGGCCTGGCATATATAGGAGGGACAACCTCCTACAAGTGACACAGAAGTCTAAGTGCCAGCAGTCAAGTGTGCATATTACACCAGTGATTATCAGGTCCGTCACAGAAAGGTTGTATTCGTCTATTACTCATTTTTTGGTTCCTTTCTTCCTTGTACTAAGAATTTTCTTCTAGTGTAAAGAAATCAGTTTTAGACCTTAAAGTGTGATTTTAATTGTCCTGCCATTTTGATGGAAATAATCTGATTTTCTTGAAGTTGATTAGGAATTCTTTATAGCATATCTTCTTAGCAAAATATGATTCAATAAAGTTCTGTGAAATGAAAGACTTACTTCTGAGTTCACCAGAAAACTTGTCAGTTGGTCTCATGAATTCAGTCCTATCCCGTGCTAATGATAGATGGTCCAGCTTTGGGCTGGATTATAAGTAGAATGAGGAATTGGAAGGATTTGGCCTGTTTGTGTGTATATGCATATATACACATATAGGTACAATAAATGCAGATATGCTGCTCTTTCAGGATGCTATTCACCAGGTCCAGCAACCTATGAATGAACTGTTTGTCATTTTGCTGCTTCACCATTTCTTAGAGAGGTGACCTTTCCTCTTTGGCCTTCATACTGGTAATTTTAGCTTTCTGGGTATTTCTGTAAGTGGATGAATCCAGATAATGCATTGGCATTACTTACCTTTTCCCTCCCATGTGGAGAAAATTGTTAGAGGTGACAGTTCTTATGATGTGTAGCTTCCCACAGCTAGTGTAGTGACTGGGCTTATCCATAAGCCCTGGGGGAGCTTTAGGGAAAAGCTTAGTGTTGCCTGTAGATTTTGGTTTAGGGATCCGTGTTGGGATTCTCTGCTTGCATACCTCCTTGATCTTGAATTAAACAGAAGAACAAAAGGTAGTTAATGGTACAGTTGGTGGAGCAGCAGACATTGTTCAGCTTAGAGGATTTGGCTTCTTTGGAAGCGCTAGGTTCTGGGGATACATCAGATTAAAGACTGTCATGTTGAAGAAAAAAAATTAGAAAAGCAATTCTGTCAACATGTGTTGAGTGTGTGCTGTGTGCAAGGCTCTGAACAGTAAATGGCACTAAATGCAGAGGTAAATTGCTTTTTGGCAATCATAGTATAGTGGGAAGTACACAAGAGGAGTGTCCCAAATTAATCTCAAAGCGTCCTGAGATTGTCAAAGAAAGGTTAATTTCAACCAAGGGGTCTAAGAGTTTCATGAAGAGAGTAGCATTTGATTTGGGCCTCTAAAGACTTAGGATTTTTAATAGCAGGAATGGGAGGGCATTCTAGAGTAAAGGAATACTTTCAGCAACAGGATGAGGGAATATTTTGGGCAGTGTCCCTGAGATAGGAAGTCAGACACGGTTAAGAAATGGAATGATTTCAAATTAGGTTGTATTTGATAGATGAAATGGGACTGTAGACTAGGCCTAGATAGGGAAAATTGTACCTGATTCTATAGACTGTACATGCTGGAGGGTATGGGGGGGTAGGAAGGACAAAGGCTGGGGGAGAAGACAACTTGTGGAGGTAGAATTGTATTAATATTTGCTCCCTGTTAATATATGAAGAGTAAAGAGAGGAGTCACAGATAGATTGAATGATCTGGACTGGGAGAGTGTGTTGTGGAGTGTGAAAGAGTGTGATTGAGTTCACATTCACTTAAAAATACACTCTTATTTTCATTTATTTAAGGAAAAATACTCTTGGATAAGAGTACTTGTTGGTAAAGAGATGGGAAAAAGTTCTCAGCTAACTGTGGTTCTCCCATTATAATCCATAGTTGCTGGTGATGATTATTTTCTCCCTCTTTGGTTGCATCATCCTTTCTCTCCTATGAGCTCAAAAATATAAATCTTTTGAAAATGCATTGCAGTTTTCATGATGGATCACTAATACTGTTTTTATGGGAACCCTTCTTATATTATTTTTGTTTCTACCGAAATTTGTTTCCATGTTTTTATTGTACTGATAAAGTACAGTTAAGTTTCTTTATGTAAACATTTAGTTACTGAAAATGCCCTTTAACTTTCAAAGCAATTGTATTTAGATTTTCAAATAAATGGTACATAGACTTAGCTAAAAATATGAGGATTGCTAGAAGAGTTTTTGGACTTTTGTATTATTGACATTTTTTTTACTACTTAATCCTAAAAATAGCAAGTGAGATATATATCAGAGTATCAATATACTCTTTCAGTCTCCTCTTTATCTATATGGTATTACTACCTTTCAGCCTGTCCTCAAGGTCTCATCTTCAGTGCTGAAATGCTCATTCAACATTTTTACCTCTCAAATAGGCAGAACCTTTTAAAAAAAATAAATAAAACTCAGTGCCCAGTAAGGTTTTGGTGAGATGGGTGACCTCAGTGATGATTACAATAATAGTTTGGTAGAGTGTATCAAGATACCTAAAATTCACACTCTGTGACTCACTCATTTTATTGCTAGGAATCTTCTCTAGGAAATAATCAGAGATGTAGGCAAGGCTATTCATTTTTACATTATTTATGACAAAAGTTTATACTATATTTTACACTATAATCACCTGAAAGTATATGTCTTAATGCTTTTGAAGAAATAGGAAAATGCTTATTTAGAAATGTTAAAAGCAGGATTAAAATCTACATATGTGCTTTAACTATGTATGTTTGAAGAGAAAATACTAGGAGAAAATATACCAGTGCTGTCAGTAAGTAACTGATTGGTGAAGTTATAGGTGTTTTTTATTTTTCTTCTATTTTCTATATTTTCTACAATAAGTATACAGTTAGAAAAAGCAATACTAAATTTTATTAAGAGATTTTAAAAAGTGGGAAATACTTTAGAGATCAAAACGTTTATGTGAATATCAACCATATTTTCCCAACCACAAGTAGTAGCAGCTGCAACTGAAATCAGTGATGGACTAATTGAAGTTATCCAATCTTGTCATCATAGCCTTAATAATAGCCTTTCCAAGATAGGTTTCTGCAATGTCCTTTAACTTTGTCAAGATTTAGATGGGTTCTCCTATTGTACAAAAGTCTTTTGAAATCCTATTTAAATTGTAGATTCCTGGGCCTTCCCTCTAGAAATTATAACTCATTTATCTTTGGATGGGCCCAGACATCCTCATTTTTAATAAACTCTCAGGATGAGTCATCTGATGCAGGTGGTCAGCCTGCCACACTTTGAGAAACACTGCGATAGTTGAACCTCCTTTAGAAGTAAGTTTAAAGTTGTGTAGTGCCTGGCTAACTCGTTGGTGGAGCATTGGACTCTCGATCTCAGGGTTGTAATTTCGAGTTCTGCGTTGGGTTTACTTAAAAATTACTTAAAAATAAAATCTTCAGGGGGCGGCTAGGTGGCGCCACTGATTACGCATCCAACTCTTGGTTTCTGCTAAGATGGTGATCTCAGGGTCCTGAGATGCAGCCCCTTGTGGGGCTCTGGGTTTAGCGTGGAGTGGGCTTAGGTTTCTCTCTCTCATCCCTTTGCCCCTCCTCCCCAACTCTTCCACACTTGCATACTTTCTTTCTCTCTCTCTCTCTAAAATATATAAATAAACCTTTTTTTTTTAATCTTAAAAAAAAAAAAAAAAAAGGAAAAGAAAGAAGCAGAAATAAGCTTTAAGTTTTCTTTCATCTCGAAATCTGGCCTGCCTGGGTGTGGGAGATTTCAATGGTTTTCATCAACCTGTGGGGCTTTTAAAACACTGCAGGTGTCTACATCCCGTCTTAGAACCAACTGACTCTGATTGTCTAGGAGTGTAGGATAGGGGCATGTGAATTTTTAATGAGCACAACAGGTTGTTTAGAACTGAAATCCCAGTGATAAACCATTTGGTATGGAACATAGTATTGGTGGGGCTTGTTTGTTTTAAGCTATATTGTTATGCTTTGGTGAAGACAGTGTGGTTTGGGATGATGGTCGTTGGTGGGGGTCAGTTGTCAGGAAGTTACTGAGCTCCCATTGTTTCTAGACCCATCAATGGTGCAAGCCAACTTTGTTTTCTTAACTCTGATTTCACTACATAGTTTTTACCTCTAGATGGCAGCAAAGGCTAGTTATTTTATTAGAACAGTCCTAAATGTCGTTCACTGATCTTAAAAATGATGCTATGGTTTGTTTTATTTTTTTCCTGTATGAATTTTATACTTGGACATGTTTCAGTAAATGAGGTATGGAACTTTAAAATGTGTCATCTCTTGGATCATTTTTATAGAACATTATGTCATATAGCTCCAGGACAGTTTTATCCAAATTTGGAGTGCATATTGCAGGCGGAATCTATGCATATGTCTGTTTTAAGACCACACAGTAAATGTTCTACTCAGAGTTGGAGGCTCCTGGGTTTCATCAGAAAGCAGATGTCTTGGAAGAGGTTAAGCTAGTTGGAAAGCTCATTCATAGAAGAAAAGAATTTTTTTTTTTTTTTAAATGTTTAACTCAGTTCAATGTGGAGATTGGGATTTGGAATGGATAATGGGTCTGAAGGATGCCAGATTCAGTGAGGCAGAGGCATTGGTTTTATCTAGGGAGCAGTATAAAGGAAAGGAGTATATGTGTGAAATGCATTCACTAAATTCTTAAAATGTTGGCTTATTTGGTCCATAGTTTCTAAAAAGAAACCAAGCAATCTAAAAGATTCCCTGGTTACAAGAAGTCATTAAATGATACCGAGCCTTTCTGACCAAAAGAAGTGCAAAAAGGTGAAAATGTTTTCAGTTTTATTTGAAGTCTTAATTATGTAGCCCAATTTCAACTGCGTGCTTCTGCTCTTTCATATTATCATGGAGGATAAACATCTGAAAGCATACCAGAACAAAATCAGCATTTATGGGGAAGCTATTAGATCCTAGTTAGACAGCTGGAGTTAGGATGTTCCTTTTCTGTAAATGAAATTAATTTTGTAAGTGCTTTGAACTTTCTGGAGATGTATTGGCAACATATTGTCTAAGAAAACAGTGTTCCCTCAGGAGTGTTCCTGACTCCAAGGACTGCACAGCCCCTCAGGACACCTTTTACTCTACAGATTGAAAGACTCAAGGCTCCCAAAAACCTCCTATAATTTTGATTTGTGGTTATTTGGGTGATGCAGGGTGGGGGCAGATTCAGTGCTGCCTGACTCCCTCAAAAACCCAGCTGTATTATCAGAATAACAATATTTTGTATTTTTGTTTTTATCTCTTTTTAATGGGAAAGTGTTTAAGATATTATGATAGATGTGGTGATGAAAAGGAGGAAATGATAAACTGGAAAAAAACTTTGAAATATTATTGCATTTATTTATTTTGTCTTTTGTATTGTTTGGTAAATCACTACTAATTTGTGTAAAGAAAAAAAAAAGTGGAAAAGACAGATAATGAATCTGGCAGATATCCTAGAGTTTCATAAGCTGCTTTGGCTTTTTTCTCTTGATTTTCTCAGAACTTCCTCACTATACAATAAAACTTTATCGCTGTAGATTTTACATTTTATATGGTAAGTGTTCCTTCAAAAGGAAACTCTGTAGTTGGATTCGCTCATTCCTTTTAACCTCCTATGAGAAGACATTTGGTTTTAAATAGAGTTGCAGTGCTATTATTTCTATTAAAGAGTTGTCTAGTTTCTGAGGAGGTTAGAGAAAATTGATGCATTTATTTTATGATATAATATGGTTTATGGCTGTACCTAGTTACATCCCAACCTCTCTGTGGTAATTACACCATGGGCAGTGAGGACAATCCAAGAATAAACACTGAAATACAGTTTTCAAAAATCCTTCCTAACCCAGTTACTTCCATTTAGTACCCATGTAGCATCACATATAGAAATAGTATGCTAAAGTAAAATATAGTAACCTTGAACTATTGTCTTCCTTGTTTGTCCCCTTTCTTT